ATCAACGTAGAGAATTGGCATTCAAAAAACAAATGAGTATGATACTCATCCCGATTCCTACACAGCAACAAAGAGGATTAATTGTTAGCCCCCAACTCTCTATTCTATCCTTTGTAGATAGCCTCCCCAAAATTGCAAGCCATAAAATGAAACTCCATCTCAGAAGATGCGTTTGCTTTTGAAGAAAATGTATTGTTTTCACTGGCGCAAGTGGCAGCTCTCCTTTTTCTTAGGCTTCAATTCACACGGACTTGTTTTTGCCTGCAAACATGAAAGCAAGCAAAAATTATAGACCGTAATATTGGTGTATGCAATTGTCTGTTTATAGTTTACAAGTATAACTTACTTCCAAAATGACTTGGTGCATGCAAGAAACATTTTTAACCAGCTCAAAAGATGTCTTTCTTTTGAAAAAAATTACGAATTATATGCTAATTCAATGCCATACTACTCAACAAGCATCCAGAATAAAGAACTAAACATTTTAAACATGAAAACTTGCAATCATAACTTGCCACAAGTTCATAAATACAAAGATCCTGCAAGTAAGCCACAACCAAAATCAAGAGAAAATAGGCAGTTGATGAATTACAAGGCCAATACCAGGTCAACATCCCTTCGGACCTGGAGAACATGTGACACTGGGTCGGGGTTTAGTGAACCAACTGGTCGCTCCTCTAGTTGAAGTATCGGGCCCCTTTTTCGCTGCCTAGGTTACACCTTCGAAATACCCCAGAAGGGAATTTTGCTCTACTTCCCCCAATCTTCACTTTACGCCACGCCGACTCCCCTTTCGTCATAAGGCGTGGAATTAGACCAAGGGGAATCTCCATAGGAACGAGTCCAACCATTGAATGTTTTTACAGAAATCAATTTTCTTTTTAATCTGCACAGAAACCAAAGTCGCAACAGAGCCTCAACTTTTTGAAGAAAAAGACCCTAATTTGTATTAAAAAAAAAACCCAATTTTTTTAAGAACAAACCCTAATTTTAGATACAGATCCAAGTTAAGGTCTAAAACGAAGAGAGAGAAACGTACCACACCTGATTTGGCGTGTCGTCGATGGACGGTGTTTCGGGTAGCCGTTGCGTTGCCATGGCTAGCTTCGTATGGGAGAGAGACAGAGAAACCTTGAGGGCTAGCTTCGTATGGGAGAGAGACAGAGAAACCTTGAGAAAGCAAAGAGAGAGATGTAAGTCGGAGAGCGAAGAGAGAGATGTAAGTCGGAGAGCGAAGAGAGAGATGTAAGTTGGCGAGCGAAGGGTTGGTGGTGCGTGGCGACGTCAATGGTCGGATGATCCAAAAGAGGGACGTCGGTTGGGAGAGAGACGATTTAGGGAAAACTATCCTCTGTTCTCTTTTTCTCCTGATTTGAAATGAAATGGGTCTACGCGCGTGAGTTGAGATTGCGCTAGAATTGAGGAGAGAGATTGGACCCACTTTTTTTACACCAGGACAGCCAGCGGCACTGCTGTGCAATATCTGTTCCTAATTGCTGTACAATTAGATTTATTGAAAAAAAATCCAGAGAACCAAGCCTTGTAACTTTTGTGTACCCGGGACACACAGCAAAACTGGCCCGTGGTCCAAAGCCCTGCCTTTTGCGTTGTGGTTCACGTGCGGTTCTATGAACACCAGTTTGGTTCGTTCCCAACCAAAACTTCCAGGAGGCAGCTCAGCTCCAGTTTTTTTATGCTCCAGTACGGTCCAGTTTTGGGTCGTTGTGGGCCCTTTTCGGGCTCACAACAATGATCGGAATCATTCATTTTGTAGAGCTCGTCGAATATGTCATCTACGCCAAAAATTAGCTTCACCGAACATCAATAGGTACATGGATGAAACAGATTTGTACATGAAAAAAATGGGCAATTATGAATTTTAACTTAATTTTTGTCATCGTTTTTTTCTTGTACAAATCTGTTTCATCCATGTACCTATTGATGTTCGGTGAAGCTAATTTTTGGCGTGGATGACATATTCGACGAGCTCTACAAAATGAACGATTTCGATCATTATTGTGGGCCCGGGAGGAGCCCACAACGGCCCAAAATTGACCCGTACTGGAGTATAAAAAAACTGGAGCTGAGCTGCCCTCAGACTTTCCATTGGTGTGCCTAGCAAACAAACTCAATTCCACGTTTTCACCTCCTGCAAAATATGTGTCTGGTAGCAGACTAATAAAAATAATCAGTATATGCACCCCTCTAGGCTTGTTAGATCGTTCACTCACAGGCAAGTGCTGGCACCCACTCTCTTGAAATTTGTAATTAATTGCATGGATGGTCACATCATTGTCCTTAACAATATATATATATATATACACACACATATACCCTTGTAGTGCACTAGCAAATTGATTTTGACACTCTAAAACTTAGTGAAGAAGTTCCAAAATGAGATTACTTTATATATCAATACAGTTCAATTTTGAAATTTTTCCATCAATTTTAAGGATATTAAAATCACAATATAATACATATTTTGCAGAAATCTTTAGCCCCTCCATCTTAATTTAATAATTAATTATCCTCCCTCAAACTTTAAAAACAAAATACAAATATTATTTCATAAATTCAAATTTATCTTGCTAAACAAAGTTCAAAAAATTACATAAAACAATGAGAGTTAAAAAATATATCCAATCTACAAATAGAGCACATATCTTAACAATGCCAAACACTATCCAATGCAGGTCATATTTTGCAATTCAATATATTTTATAAAATTATTCAATATGTTATTCTGTCCAGACAATGACGATGCCAAAAAAATAGATTAGCCATTGTCAAACAATAAATATATTAAGTAAATAATTCTTTTTTCTTTTTCTTTTTTGAGAGAGGGCAAAAGGATAATTTTACATTTCAAACTCACCTAGGCAATTGCTAACTAGAGAGAGATAGAGTGAACCTTTGAAACACACACACAGACAAACCCAAACTCCAGATGTGGGAGCCAGCCCAACGAACACAGCCCAAGAGCCTCGCCGCGAAACGCAGCACAAGGACAGCGGGCCCAAGAGGCCTACACCAGAGGTCGGATCCCTCCACAACGGGTGCACATGACTTAGTTTTTTTTGAGGGAGGGCAAAGTACATAATTCATTTCGCATTAACAATTAGAGTTAATTTTTGCTGCACTTTGACAATTAGAGTTAATTTTTGCTGCACTTTGACGAAAAAAGTATAAAGCCAAAGAAAGAAAACATGCTACTACCGTTTTCTAGAAATTTTGGTAATGTCCCATAAAATTTTATGCATATGGTATTATAGAGCTGATTATAAATTACCAACCAAGATAAAAAAAAATAAAAAAATATTAAAAATAAATACGCACATGAAATCAACATAAATCTTTATTCATACCCTTTTTTGAGGAAATTTTGGATTTGTAGTGTCACTAAAGACTTCCGCTCGCATTTCATACACACAACAGTAATTAGAGAAAATAATGCCAAGGGAAAAAGTCCAAAGCAAAAAATAAAACCAATGCCACACCAAAGAAATCTTTTTTTTATTGTACTCCCCTAGCACTGTCTATGCCTGGATAATAGTGAGCCACCACTTCCATCTCACACATGCTTTCTCCACTGATCTCAAGCACCACCAAAGTACAGTGCTTGTTGGCAACTACGGCTCCAAGACCAAGGCTACTTCTTCATCAACATTCACCGTAGTTCAGTTCATCCTTGATCACTGGCAGGAAAAAACAAGCTCTGGTATCTGTATCTTTTCCCTGAACTTCTCAACATGCACATGTATACAGATATCAAACATCTTTTCTCTTTTTCATTCTCCTCTTCTGTGCTGCATGCTTTCATATGCCCATTTTTTTTAGCATATTTGTAGTTCCATCTATGCACTGGTGTTTGTCCTCAACATATAGTGTTTGTACTGCTAAAACATGTTCTGCACTTTGATCACGTACAAATACTACGCCATAACAAAGAACTAAGGACCCAAACAATCTGTCAACTTATTCATAGAGAGCAAAAAATGTCCCAGAACAAGCGTAAGAGAACACCATATTCACAGTTATCACAAGAACAAAAAGATCAAATAAATGCACGAAAAAGAGCTTGGAGATCAGGCAAAAAAACCATAGAAAACGGCCTCTTCGCAGTTCAAATACAAGACCAAATCAGTGCAGAGGAAAATACTCAGTCAAGCCTCTTCTCCAACAAATGAGCAGAGCACATTGATGATCAGCAACAAATGCCGCACGAGCATACCATTTTCACTCAAGAATGCCGCACGAGCATACCATTTTCACTCAAGAAAATCAAGGTACAGTCCAAAAATCTCACTCATGCAGGCTTCTGTTTTCTGTTAGTTTTAGGACTCCCAGTACATTTTTACCATACATTCAGAAATTTTAGAGCTAATCACAATTGATCTTCTCTATTTTTTGTAGACTGTTCGTCATTGCCATCAACCTCAGTCTCCGATGAGCCATGTATGTAAATTTTACATTTTATAAAGCACAGCTCCCATCCCCCCTTTCTTTCCCCTTTTTTTCATAAATAAGCCCCGCTCCCTAAGGGGCCCCTCTCTGGTAAGGAAAGAAAAATAGAATTTCACAATGAAAAAATTTTCCCTTATGGAACTCTCGCGTCGACTTACCGGAGCCATTGTCTTTCCCATGATGAAATCCTGAAGAAAGAGGCTGCAGATGCTTTGCGCACAGCTATTTCAGCCAATCTCCAAATCCTTCTTGATAAAAGGGGTACCGAGATTCCGGCTAACTGTACCATGGACCAACTGCGCGACAAAGCTGTTGAGCAGCATGCGGAGAATCTACCCTATTTAACTAATATTTTACACGACCTAATCGTTTTTCAAGCAAATAGTGAGACCTTCCAAGCAGTTGTCAATCATATTTCTTCATTAGGGGGGGGGGGTTAAGCGGCAGGATTCGTTCATACGGATGGGAGCATTTGTTGATCTATACGATCGACCCCGGACGTACCCATTCGCCGCGTGGGGAACCGGGTAACCAAAGTCACGATTAGAATAAAGGAAGTTCGATGGGTCACTTCCCGGAGGTGCTGGTTCGAGTCCAGCTCGTGACGAAAGGCTGCCCATGAGTACGTCCGGGGGGGTTTTGTCCTTCTTTTCACCCCTGTCCATGAAAGCATCCTCCGCTCCCCCCTTTCCTCTTTCTTGAATCATTTCATCGTGTATCAGTTGTAGCATATCTGCTGTTAACCGGAAGAAGAGTTTTGAGAAAGAGATTCTTTCCTTAGTCAAGTGAGCTAGGGGGGAGCTGTTATTCCGATTTTTTCTCTCTTACGCTATTTTGTTGAGCGTTGTCTGCTGCTACTTTGACGGACGAGCAAGGGAGTTTTTTAGTCGTAGGATGTCGGATATCTTCTGTAGCATATCCGCGAAAAAAAAAAAGTTAGGATTCGACTAGCTTTTAGTTTCAAGTGGTTTTGGTGTGAACAAAAGGCGTAATCGCAGTTCTCTCGTCCCTATCGCCCCGAAGGTACTTCGCTTCCCGCCGTTAAGAGTTCTGGCTTCTAGGGCAATAAGAGTTCAGGACAGTAGTTAGCCGGGTATTCAAAAGGAAGAAGCAAGAATTGACATTTCCTCCTCGGCAAGTAGAGTTACCTCAGCCAGCCAGCTAACTTCCTAATCCGTTTTCTCGGCCTTTGCCGGGTACCGCTTCCTCCCTTTGGCTAACTTCCTAGTAATTTCGTAGTCGGCAATCGAATCTTACTGATTCGGGTTTTATATAGGTATGCTATTCGACATTTCCATAGGTAATTCTTCAAGCCGATGCCAAATAAGCAAAACTTAAATTCCACTTTGCATTCCTAATTCTTAATACATAAATGTAGGTGTAACAGTTGGCAATCTAATGCTCGCACCAACTATTCAACAGCGTCCCATATATACCAACAGAGCCATTCACATTACCATCAATGCAAAACTGCAGATTTTGTGGAGCCATAAAATTCCCATATGAAACACAAAAGTTTTGCTGCTCTGCTGGTGACATATATTCCGCAAGAACTTCAGCAACTGTACTCTGGTTCTGGGACAGACTCCGCCAATTTTCTGCAATATATAAAGCCATATAATAATATTTTTGCATTTACCTCAATGGGTGTCCATCTTGATCCCGTTTATGGAAAGCGAACTAATGGCATTTATACTTTCCGTGCACAAGGCCAAATTTATCATTTGATTGATAACCTCTATCCAGATGGTGAAATGCCATCATACTTGCAACTTTACTTTTACGACACATGGAATGAGGTGAGCAATAGAAGAGGCGACAAGGACAAATTACTGCCACATATTATAGAACAATTGATTGACGTGCTCAAGGCAAATCCATACTCCCAGTTCTTCCGAAGCATCAGTCAAGTACCAAATATTGATGAATATGAAATAAGACTTAAGAGCAGATCCTCAAATGCAACACAAAACTGCACTCCCACCTACTGTTCCACAGGTTGCTGTCATGTGGATAGAAGATGAAGAGGTGGAAGAACTAAGGGAACGTGATATAGCTGTGCAAAAACACAACGGTCATAGTCAACGAATTAGCTACTACTTTGGTTGTTATGATCCCCTCCAATATCCATTGCTTTTTCCCCTTGGTGAACCTGGGTGGCATCAAGGAATTAAGAAAGCCAAGACTAGCAGTTCATTGCGCTCTTCTCCAAGCCAAAGGAAGATTATGCCAAATTATTCAGCAACCGCTGAACAATTGCTTGCAAATGAAGCAGCAGGTAAAAAAGAATTCCTATGATTTCACTAACAAAACAATCCATCTATGATTGGCTTTTCTCTTTTATTCATAGAAACACTAACAAAGTTTTCTATATTCAGTGCGCGAAGAAAATGGTGACAAGGCATATATGGTATCTGCCCGAGAATTCTATGCATATCGATTCCAGATCAGGAAAAGCACAAACTCAATCGTCCTTGAATCAGGTCGGCTTCTGCAACAATATGCCGTCAATATGTATGTTAAAATTGAAACATCAAGATTGGATTACTTTAAGAACCGACAGGAAGAAATTCGGGCAGACTTATACCAAGGCATTGTTGATAGTGTTAACTATGGCGAATCTGATGCCAACAAGATCGGCACAAGGACCATCCTCCCAGCTACATTCATTGGTGGCCCAAGAGATATGCGAAAGCGATACATAGATGCAATGGCGCTTGTTGGCAGGTATGGCAAACCAGATCTTTTCTTGACCATGACCTGTAACCCAAATTGGGCAGAGATTAAGGCACAGCTAAAACCACATGAGGAAGTACAGAATAGACCTGGCTTGGTTTCCAGAATTTTTGAAGCAAATTCGAGTACCTGCGCAAAGAAGTTATAAAAAATGAGCTTTTTGGTCCAGTAGTAGCATACACATTTGCGATTGAATTTCAAAAGAGAGGCTTGCCCCATGTGCACATGTTCATAATACTAAAGAAGGCCTATAAGTTCAACACAGTTGAAAAGATTAATGCCTTCATTTCAGCAGAAATACCAGACAAAACTCAACATCCACATTTATATGCAATGGTCCTAAAGCATATGCTCCATGGACCTTGCGGAGAATTGAACCCTCAAAACCCATGTATGCAAAAGGAAAAGTGCAAAAAGAGTTACTCAACAGAAACCACCTTCTGCCCAGATGGATACCCCCTGTACAGAAGGCGGCCAGATGGCCAGCAAGTCAAAATACGCGGCCATATCATGGATAACAGATGGGTGGTCCCATATAACCCTTACCTATTAGCAATGTTTGACTGCCGCATTAATGTTGAGGTATGCTCAACTATCAAGGCAGTAAAAATCTTTATAAGTACATCCACAAAGGGCATGATAGGATCATCTATCAGTTGGTTACTGTAGATCAGACCGAACAAATTGACGAGATACGCCAATTCCAAGATGCAAGGTGGGTATCCCCACCAGAGGCAATGTGGCGAATCTATTGTTTTCCTCTATATGAGATGCGACCCGCTGTTATAAGCTTGCACTTGCATCTTGAAGGTTGCAACAAGATCAACTTTAAGAAAGATACCAATCTACAGAGCATAGCAGATATGAATTCAAGTCCAGGACAATGCTCACACAATTCTTTTGGATGAATGCTAATCATCAAAAAGCAAAGCAACAAAAGCTACTTTATGCTAATTTTCCAGAGGAATATGTATGGGACAACCAATCAAGAACATGGCACGAACGCAAACAACAAGAGGTGATCGGAAGAATTATCACAGCGAATCCAAAAGAAGGCGAGAGATACTACTTGAGGTTACTATTAACTCATGTTCCTGGTCCTACTTCATTTGCTTATCTGAGAACTGTCCAAGGGCTAACATATGATTCATACATAGAGGTAGCAATGGCTCATGGCTTACTGGAAACAGATGATAGCAATGAAAAATGCATGCAAGAGGCATGTGCATATCGAATGCCAATATTGCTAAGACAATTGTTTTGCACAATTCTTGTCTATTGCGCACCAGTCAATCTAGCCGAATTATTCTTTAAGTTTCAAGATGACATGATGGAGGACTACATTTCAGTCCAAAAGCTCACAAAAGAAGCAGCAATTACTTGGAGCATTAAACTCCGAATTGCAGTCAATGGGCAAGGCTTTGCATGATTATCAACTATCTTATCTTCTCACTCCATCAGCAGATCACGAATCAATTTGCAGAGAGGTCCAAGATGAAACGGATGTTCATGTTTCTGAAGAAGATCTCCAAAGGTCAGCTTTACTGAATGCTGAACAGCGCATAGCCTATGACCAAATCCTCGATACAGTTTTCAATGAAAAATCACATTGTTTTTTTATTGACGGGCCAGAAGGAACAGGCTACCGGACCATACTCGCAGCAATACGCTCACAAAGAAAAATTGCCTTAGCAACAGCTACCTCTGGAGTGGTAGCATTAATTTTGCCCAATGGACAAACTGCCCATTCACATTTCAAAATCCCAATACATGGAGAAGGCAAACTTTGTTGCAATGTGGGAAAACAAACTGGTTTGGCCACTCTATTAAGAAAGGCAGTCCTCATAATTTGAGATGAAGCTTTAATGGCCAAAAAACAATCAATTGAAGCATTAGATGATCTATTGCAAGATATTACAGACAATGATGCTCTCTTTGGAGGCAAAGTAGTAGTTCTTGGAGGTGACTTCCGGCAAGTGTTGCCTGTTATACCAAAAGGTACAAAGCAAGATTGTATGAATGCAAGTTTGGTAAGATCTTACATTTGGCAATCACTGACAAAGCTCAAACTGCAGCAGAATATGTGTGCTAGAGCCGACCCAGCATTCAGTAAGTACATTCCTCGCATTGGCAATGGCTTGGAACAAGAGGACGAAGCCGGGCAGATCAAGCTCCCAAGCATCTTGGCTCTAAGGCCAACAAAAATCATGCCAGTACTATATCAACTGATTGAATTTGTGTTCCCAAGTCTATCTGAACCATCATTTGACCTATTATCCTTCGCAAATTCAGCCATACTCACACCAAAAAAATAGTGCAGTTGATGAAATCAACGAAGTTATCACTTCCAAATTCCCTGGTCAAGAGCATACATACCTAAGTTTTGATGAAACAACTGACCCCGCACAACAAGGCTTGTATGTTGATTTCCTGCACTCTTTGCTGCCCACAGGAATGCCAGCGCACGAATTGCTTTTAAAGAAAGATATTCCAGTTATGCTCCTACGAAACATCAACGCATCAAAGGGATTGTGCAACGGAACAAGACTAATATGCAAAGAATTCAACAACCACTTTATTACTGCTGAAATCACTGTTGGTGAGAAAAGAGGCACAACTGTTTTCATTCCTAGGATTCCGCTCCAACCAAGTGACCCTCAGCAATACCCGATTCAGTTCACGCGTCGCCAATTCCCGATAAGGCCATGCTTTGCTATGACAATAAACAAAGCTCAAGGACAAACGCTGAACAAAGTTGGTGTATACTTGCCAGAGCCAGTGTTCTCTCATGGCCAGATGTATGTTGCATTATCACGAGCAACAACAGCAGAAAAAATAAGAGTCCATTTGAAGCACTCAGAAAATGATCCA